ATAAATAAATATAAATATATATACGTGTGTGTGTGTGTGTGTGTGTGTGTGTATCTCCAAGGCAAGAGGATATGTCTGTCCATCACTCACTCCACTCTTGCTGTTTCTTCCCAGACTGTGGCACTCTTGGATGTGGTCTGGGAAGAAATCCACATTTACTCAGTGAGTCCATGAAAGCCCCATTAGGGTTCGAACCGACCAAGAGAAAAAAAAAGGATACAGGTGGAAGCTGTTCTGGTAATCCCAAAACTGAGGGTAGGTTTTACTGATGTTGGATATTTATTTACTTAAATATTCACTTCACATGGTAAATGTCTTTTTGCCAGGGATCATTTTCAAAAAGCTAAAATTAATTCCACACACAGGTTACTACGTGCATCATCTGAAGCTGGGCTATAAACTAGAACCCAGGATAAGTCTGTCCAAAGACCTCCTTAAGGGTGACATGATGAGAAACAAAACAAAACCCAGAGAACCAAACAAAGCTACTGGGAGCATCTACTATAACAGGGAAGTGGCAATACTGGGGGAAGGAATGCTCTCAGAACCTCGTTTTGCTTGCATAGCAAACTTGATGATCCTAAAAAATCACATGGCATTTTTATTCAACAAATATTTAGTGTGTTGATGTAAGAGATGCCATGGATACAAAATTCAATAACTGTCTGGACAGTTAGGCATGTGAGTCACCCAAACAACACAGATCTATGTGATACCCCTACTGTACAGGTATGGCTGTGCTCATGACCTCAGCAGCCACGGGGAGAAAGCAGTGGAGGTCGGAGCTCCTACCCACCCTTCTGTGAACTTGTCAGTTTCCCCAATGCTGAACTTTGTCCTCCCCAGATCCCTACACTCAAAGAACCAAATCACCAAATAATTTCCCTGTCACTGAGACACAGTTTCATTCTTTCAGTCATCCAGCAAATAATTACTGAGCACCTACCTTGTGCCAGGTGCTGTGAAAAGATACCTGGATCCGTCTGATCCGGGTCTAGCGAGCCATTTATCTTGGGCCTCATACTCGTGAAAGGTTCATAATGTAGATTGTTAAGATTATATGCAAATGATATCATATATACAGTCAGAGTTACACTTATAGAATTAAACTTTAAAGCACATCAGAACTTTTATAACATTGGTTTAGCAATTGTCAAAAATACACACAAATCTCCCCACTACCGGGTCACTTATCATCCAAGGAAGTGATCTGGGTCCCTCCCCATCACTGCAGGTCTTGCGGTACAGTCAAGAGAGGACAGCAAGCAAGCCAGTTGTACTGTGCTCACAGAACTTTGTGTTTAGTGGGGAGACAAGTATGGAATAAGGACATATATCAGACTAACAACCAGTTATCTCTGGGAGGAGAGCAGCATGGCGCGAGGCTGAGCAGGCAAGCAGAGCTTTCCCTTTATCTAAAGTGTTCAAATTTTTACAATAAAGACATTTCCATGTACTACTTGTGTAGTCATTACAAATTTCTATATCAGGTACATCATTAAAAGACCAGCCAAGACGAGGACTAGAAGAGCATGAGAGAGGCTGACGCCAATGTGAGAGGCAGGGAGAACGAGCCAAACACCAAGATGGAGCTTCAGGGTTGGTCTGGAGCTAGAGGGCGGCACACACCTTTGTGGTGACCATTATCTGCACAGCCTGGGGAGGGCACTGCTAGAGAGGGATGCATGGCTCCCCATCTCAGAGCTCTCTACTGGGCTCAATCACTTTCTGACCCCACAAATGGAACCACCTACTTTCAGGTACTGAGTAACACAGATGATCAACATGTTACACTCATCTTGGTATGAAACTTGCCTTTTCGTGGACAGCAATAAATCCTACCAGAGAATAATACTAAAAGCTCCCGGGCTGAATCACAGTGATCCTGTCTAGACTGAAATGTCTCATCTCCACTTTGTCAAACAAATTGTGCCTTGCCCATTACTGCTCACCTTGTAACCCATATGGGCTTTACACGGTTCTATCAGCAAGAAGGCAGCCCCTGACCACATATAAATGATCGCATGACATGCTAGAGAAGTAAGAGCAGATATCATGGAAAGACCATTAGCTATGGCAACGCACAGATTACTAATGACAGATGGAGCAGATGTTAACACACAAATTTGCAGATAAAAACACTACCTTACACTGTCATTTTTTTCCATTTTCCTGATATTCTGAGATATACTCACATGGCATGGCTTTTGCAGAACAGAGACAAGACCAATGACTGATCATCCAATAATACTTCTGATCAGAGAAATTTGTGTGTGTGTGTGTGTGTGTTTGAACACATGTGTGTGCACATGTAATATTTTCAGTACGACAGGTGCCCCTTGGGAGTGTGCTGTGCACAGTTTTTAGGGAAATATATACAAGTAAAGTCAGCATGGAGTTACACAACTGAATGCACCTCTCCGTGAGGTGAACAGCCAGCAGAGACAAAGTTTCCTGTAAAGGGTTTCATGTCTGAGTTCTACTCTAAAAGCTCAAAGGGAGTTTGTACAGTGGACAGGGTTACCGGGTAAAATAATGGGACATCCAGTTAAATTGGAATGTGGTATAAATGCCGAGTGATTTTTTTTTTAGCATAGGTAATTCCCAAATACTGCATGGGTGTTCTGTATTTTTATTTGCAAAATGAGGCATAGATAAGAACTTTTTAAAAGCTAACAGTGGAAGAGGGGAAGATATCCATGTCAATCATCTTTCCTTTTTTGTCATGAATCTTGTCACCATCAGCACCAATTAACATTTACAGCACATGGGGATGAGGCCCATGCAATAGGGAAGACCTATGAATTACACCAGCCAAAATGCTCAGAATGTGCCTGCTTCTTCACTCGTGGACTCCTAGAGATCATGCACTATACCTTATTCCTTCATCCTCAAGACCCACCCAGTGACTGGCATGTGGTACTAGCTAAAAATACAGTTTTGAATAAATAAGGATGAGATATGGAATGACTATAAGGGGAGGAAATTTGGGGTGAGCAGGATAAAATGACAAAACTGTACATGGCAGAAAACAGAGGAACCGTCAAGATGGCTGACAACAGCTAAATCTGTAGCCGCCTCCATCGACTGTGAGCAGAACCTCGGAGCATAGTAATTCAACTGAACAAACTCTGAGTTTGGTTTAGTAAGACAGAACTGTCTCAAGTGCAAGGAAGTCTAAGCATTCTAAGTGGGCAGGGCAGGGAGAAGTACACAAAGTTGGGAAATCCACAACTATGCCCTTAAAAAAGCCATAACAGAGGCAGACAACACATTTAAAAGCCCCAAAGAGGGACAAGCAGTTCCTTCTAGGACAAGGTAACAAGTTTTAGACATAAGAAGTTGTATGAGCTATGTAAGAAGGTATGACCTACAGAGATGCTTTGCACTCTATAGACTGTGTGTATGTTTAATCATAAATATATATATAAACATACATATTTTTATTAAAAGGTTGCAAACATGGTACAATGAACTCCCACATATTCTGTGCTATTCTATGGAATAAGAACTGAGTCTTGGGGTAAATTCACATGTCCTCTGGAAGTATCTTAGAGCGGCACTTGGGTGGCTCAGTGGGTTGGGCCTCTGCCTTCGGCTCAGGTCATGATCTCGGGGTCCTGGGATTGAGTCCCATATCAGGCTCTCTGCTTGGCAGGGAGCCTGCTTCCCCTCTCTCTCTGCCTACTCGTCATCTCTCTCTGTCAAATAAATAAATAAAAATCTTTTAAAAATTAAAAGAAAAGATTTTTTTTCTGCACATATATGCACATGTAGGTATTTCACAAACATACTGTCAGCCTCTATATACTGCCCATGTAGCTTGGTTTTAAACTACAAAGTGAATTTACCCAAGTGACCAAATATACTTAACCACCTACCTACTATTGAACATTTAAATTGTTTTCCCTTTTTTTTCTTTTTGTATGATAAACTTCCTGACCGCCAAGTCTTTAAAGATGTCCATCATTATTTCTTGGGGATAAATTCCTAGAGGGAGAACTGCTGAGTCAAAGACCATGTGCATTTTTAAGTCTTTTGGTACATATCACCATTTTGCTCTCTCGGAAGCTTGCGTCAATGTATAATGTTATAATTATAAAATATTAAAGGGCTCGTTTTCAAAAATTTTTCCAGGTTAGTCACCTCATAAAATCTGTGAAATCGTTATTTAGAGAGTGCACACATAGAGTAATATATGTAGTAAGTACTTCTATGATGGGTATCAGAGGCGTGTGAAACATTAGGCAGCCATGGGAGGTGCTAGTTTGGGTTTAACTAAAGGAAAGCCTAGTTGGAGAGTAACAACATTTTCTAATGACAACAGAAAACCAAGCCAGCTTACAGTAAGTAAGTGCCATGCTCAAACTGACCAACTCTGTTTTTCATCTTCTTTGAGACCCAGGAAAATTAAAAAAGAGAAAATATCCAAATAGAGAAGCTTAATTTAACAAGAGTAGAGAAACCTAAGCTATGTTATATTCTGGTGGCCTTGCAATCAAATAATTAAAGTCGTTTGGCCAACATCTATGATTAACTCAATGAGAGAAGCTGATTGGCTACATGGCCAGATCCAAAAAATAAATAAATAAATTTCTTTAACGGATCGCTCGCTCTCTTATGTAACAGCATTGGATGGATGAGTGTATAGAGTCAGAACTTTCAGTTCTTTCTGAAACAGTCTGCATCAATCTTGTTATGACAATCCTGTAGTCCTGGGATGGGTCACCCAGACTATTAAAGTAATGCAACGGTAATGCTTTGCTCACTTTAAAGAAAAAGATTAGCATTTCCAAAGTCAGAGTCATCCAAAGTCAAAACAAACCTCCAAGGCAAAGGAAAGGGGCTGAAACTCTGAGAAACATAAAATGAGGAATGAGAAAACTCCTCCCCACCGAAGATTATTCAGGTGTATAAAAGGCACACGTTGGGATACTTAAGACCTAAAACATCACTGTCAACGCTGAGTCTGGTGGATTTTTTAGCTTGGGGGAAAAAAAATGAGCACTAAGCCTGATGTGATTCGGAAGTGTTTGTGGCCTGCATGCCTTGTGGGTCTGCTCATCACTGGCATCCTCTCTCTGGACTGTAACTTGCTGCATTTCCACCTGAGGAAAGTCACCTGGCAAAACCTGAGACTTCTGAGCAGTACGAGCAGCTCCTTTCCTGCAGAGTGCCTGAGCGAAATCAAAGCGTTTGAGTTGCCCCAAGAGATCCTGTCACACACCCAGCCTGTGAAAAGGTACATCAAGGAGGCCTTCTATGAAATGTCTATACAGGCCTTCAACATCTTCAGTCAGTACACCCTCAAATCCACTTGGGAAAGCGACTATCTGAAACAAATCCAAATCGGACTCGATCAGCAGCTGCAGTACTTGGAACAATGCCTGGAGGAAGAGGAGAAGGAAAAGGAAGACTCGAAAGAGATGACAGAAGATGGGATGAACTGGTCAGGAGCTCTGGTCCCCCAGCTGAGCAGCCTAGAACTGAGGAGATATTTCAATAGGATAGACAACTTCCTGAAAGAAAAGAGATACAGTCACTGTGCCTGGGAAATCATCCGAGCGGAAATCAGAAGATGTTTCTACTACTTTCAGAAATTTGCAGCCCTACTCAGGAAGAAATAAGGTATATTTTTTAGAATTAAAATCCCCTTTCTCTCCATGATCTCCCTCTCCTTTATCTTCTTTTTAAGAATTTTTGGGCTATCCTATAAGCCTACCCACCATTGGAGTGGCGGTCATTTAGGTAATGTTTGCTGTCTCTAAAGTTGGCCTTGAGACATCAGCTACATCCACCTTTCTAAGAGGTGATGCCAACCACCTCTGGGTACCAACGGTCTTCTTAGAAAGTTCTGAAGATAGTTTTATTATTTTTTTTAAGATTTTATGTATTTATTTGACAGACAGAGATCACAAGTAGGCAGAGAGGCAGGCGGGGGCGGGGGGTGGGGGGAAGCAGGCTCCCCGCTGAGCAGAGAGGCCGATGCGGGGCTTGATCCCAGGACCCTGAGATCATGACCTGAGCCGAAGGCAGAGCCTTTAACCCACTGAGCCACGCAGGTGCCCCTGAAGATAGTTTTAAATAAAGGAATAAGATCCTCTCCATGTTCTACTCTTTTCTTTCTCTTTCTTTTGCTATTTTTTACTTGCTTTGCTCTATGGCCTTTGAACTTCACTATGCCAATGTTAGAGGATATGAATGAGAGAATGTTGCAAAATGTAACACCTCAGTGATTTAACTGTCATGCTGCCATGGCTGTGTATTCTCTGATAGCTGAGCATGTTAAAGGAGCTTATACAAGCTTTCATAGAGTTAAAACCCTTCTTTTCTCCCCCTGCCCTCAAAAAAAAAAAAAAAAAAAGTGAAATTTCTGTCCTATTTGCTTCTCAGTTTGGTTTGTTTGAAATTATATAGTTTGTAGGATGGCTTTTTTTTTTTTTAAGAGAATGAAGATCCTCAGTGATATCAGATAGTTGAATTAGATGGCCATTAAGTTCTCACTCATCCTTTGAGAGCCAATGATTGTAATGTAGAAAACACCGCTCATTCCTACTGCATACTATTTGATTTCTACATCCAAGAGCATGGAAAATGCTGCAAAAAAATATATATTATCTGTTTTTCTGTTTTTTTAAATGCCTGAGATGAAGTACCTGCATATTTCACACTGATTTGCACACTGGATTTTCCCAATAAGGAAGACCACTTTCTGTCTGTTAAGGAGACTAGTTATAATAATACATGACACTTTAATCTCATTTATCTTTTTAGAAATTATTTTGTATCCAGGTTACCTAGATTATTTACTTAAATTTTCTTGTGTGATCCTTCATCTGTGTTAATCCATCATCCAGCTGAAATCAATTTTTTTTCTTCCTCTCTCTCCTCCCCATTTCAGAATCCTGTACACCATCAAACGAGAATTTACAAAAAGACTTGTGGCTACACAAATGACAAAAGCACAAATGTACCTGGTTCCACCCTTGGGAAACCTCCCCTGCTATACTGTTTCAAAAGCAAGCTCCAGACCTATTTAGATTCAAAGTTCATTCAAGTACAGGGCTCAAATGGTAAAGCCAAACAGAGGCAAATTTCAGGCAAAAATTAAAAGTTGTGGATTATGGTATCCTGGCTATCAGTGGAAGGAATGTAAATAAAATGAGTTAGTTAAATCCATTAGTAAAAACAACTCATCAAGAGTTGTTCTAAATGAAGAAAAAAAAAGTCACCATAAACTGTAAAGATGTTGGGGCTTGCAAGCTACTAAGCAGAAAGTATACATCTGGTATTTTCCAAGAATTTCTCTACTAATGCTTTTGCACAGTCTCCCTAATAACTCTACCAGAGATCATGTCAGTCATTTCAGTAATTTATGGTTGCAGTCTTGCCAAATGTTTGCTATGCTAGAGGGAAGAGAATTGGCACTTCAAGTCAATAAAGATTGTCCGATTACTAGGGCAGGGTCAGAAGTCAGAACACTATGCTTTCACTAAGAGCACCTCTAGTCAGAAAAGGGAGAACATCCCCACTGAAAAATATTGGTTAAGGACATAAACTGGCATCATCATAAAGGAAGAAATACTAACAGACAAAAGGAAAAATGTTTAATCTCATTTGTGGTTAAAGAAATACAAAAGAAGACAAGAGGATACCTCCCATCCATCTGGCAGAAATGAAAAAGTGATTATAATATAAAGTATGAGTGGGGTGTGGGATACAGGAAAAAAAAATCCTCTTGCATATTGTTAGACAGCAGGTAAAGTGGCACAACTTTCCTACAGGACAATACGGCAATCTCAAGTATCCTAAAAAGTGCACTACCTCTTTCAACCTAGCTATACTAAGCTCCAGAAATTAATCCAAGGAAATGATTGGGTAAGACTGTTTACTGGAGCCTTATTTATAATATCCCCTTTCCTTTTGTCTTCATTTTTACCTCTCAGTATTGTCTATGTTTTCTACAATGATTTGGGGAAGGGGAGGCTAATTCTAAAGTTAAAGAAACTGTAGAAGCTCATCTTTAACTGCAATTACCCTGTTTTCCTTACGGGGGTAGACTGGGACAAACACTGCCCTTTCACGTGATTAATGATGCCTCTGGGCACTTCTTAAGCAACCCAGGTCCCCCGTGTTCTCTTCTGCAGCTACTAAGTAGCTGCTAAATTTCAAAGGTATCCTTCCTTAGGCATCATTTTCATGAGACCTTTGTAAAGTGCCTTCCATTGCTTCAAAAATTCACTTTTTTTCTTTTGTTGGTGCCACTGGCAATATCCAGAAATCACCAGAGAAAGTGCTTCCTGACTTAGCAGTCTCCTTTGTTTTTCTGTTTATTGAATGAAAGTCAAATTTCTGGTAAGTCAGATAAAGGGAAAACTCCCAGAACTGTTCAGAGGTCCCACATAAAATGCTTGAGTGGGTACCTAGGTCACAGGTGTTCTGATGGAAGCTTGCTTCCTCCCTCCCCATGCTCCAGGAAGGGATCAAAAGGTAGAGAGTAGAAAGAGTGTAACTGAGCTTCCCTGGAATAGGGACGACTGGGCCTCCATGAGGAAATGCTGGCACCACCACTACAGTAAAGCTGAGCGTGCACAGCTTCTAACAGGTGCACAGGCTTGGCCTCCCCTCACCGGCACAAACGACTGTCTGGGCACCGTAAGGGAACTCTGCCTTCTCAGAGTGCCTACTTTGCTGTTGCCCTACCTCTTTAATAATCCACACTAAGAAGAGGCATGATGTGTAAGCATCTGACTTGCGAGGGAAGGCAAAGAAACAGGGCCACCTATAACCTAACAGGCGCACCCCCTGCGGAACTCGGAGGCAGTTCCAAGCCACTGGTTCCCAAGGACTTGCTGGCGTGAACACTGCCCCGGCGGCGTCTGCGCGGTATCCTCCGGATTTGCTTTTTTCCAAATGCTGACAGGGGACCTGGGATTTAAACTTGGAGCCCTACCCCTAAGTCAAAATTCCACGTTCAGTCTGGAGGGAGCCACCTAATCAGTTTCTAGGCAAAGTCTTGAGGCTTCTTGGATTACTTCCTTCTCCATTCTCGCCTGTTCTCCAGTCCCTGAAAACTAGCAGACCCCAGGACCTCGGCTTTCCGCCTACCCAAAGTGCCCTGATCCCGTCCCCCCTGCCCTGGAAGTGGCCCAGCCACAGGCCTTCGGGCGGATATTTAAATCCGCTGGAACCACCCAAGGACACCCTAGCGGAGGGCGGAAGGTCTCTCCCACTCTCGGGAAAGCAGCAACCCTCTCCGGCTGCGCCCTTCGTGGCGCGTCTGGGATCAGATCCGAGAAACGCGCCCCGGGCCACAGGCAGCAGAGGAGGCGGGGAAGCAGCAACTTTCCCTCCGCCCTCTAACCGCAGGGCCTTGGTGCGGCGGCCTCGCGGGGGCCGGGCTCCTCGCCTTTCCCCGTCGGGATGCCGGGCGGGAGCCGGCCGTGTGGCTGGCGGGCGGTAGGGGAGTGCGGGGAAGACCCGGGGGGCGTCCTGCTCTCCGCGAGCCCCGTCAGATGTTGCAAAGGCAAACAATAGGGGAGAAGCGGAGAAACAAAAGGCCATTCGTCACGATCTCCACGGGCGCTGTGGCGTGGTCCCTGCGGGGAGGACATCTGGGAGGCGGTCAGGAAGGTGGGTGAAGGGGGGAGCCTGAGGGGCCTGGAGGTCTCCGGTACTCACTTGCCTGGCACCGGAGGGCAGCCCTTTTCCATTCGGAGAGGGGTCCCAAGGCAGGGAGGACAATCAAAGGAAAGTTAAGGGGTTTTCACCTTCCTCGGCGTAGGGGAAGGGAGGGGCTGGATTCCAGATGTTTGACAGTTGTTGGCCCAAGGGGGCAGCAGAGCTTCCCAGTCCTTCACCCACGCGCTCCCTCCCCGAAGCCCCGACAGTGCCCGGGGCGAGCGGGCCGGCGGAGCGGGCTTCCCCGGCGCAGCCCGCGCCCAGCCTCCGCACACGCCCTGCGCGCGGTGCTCCCGCCCAGGCGCACTTTCGCAAAAGTTTGTCTTCCCGCCGCCCGCAGCCCGACACGCTCGCGGCAGTCTCCCGCGATTCGGGACGGCTCCGGGACGCACTTGTGCCACGCGGGACATGTATTTTACTAATAGAGCTTTCACAGTCAAGGCCCGGGAGCCCGGGCTGGGGGGACTGGACTCTCGTTCCCGCCCGAGAAGGGCACGCGAGGAGCCGGCCTGAGCCGAGGCGCTGGCAGGCGTCTGACGCGGATCCCAGCCCCGGAGCCGCCGCTCGCCCCCGCCCCCCACCCCCGACGCGTCCTCCCCCAGGGGCGCCCCACACCGCGGCCCGCCCCGACTCCCCGGAGGGCGAGCAGCTGCCTGGCGGCGCCACTTCGCCTCGCCGCGCGCGGGCTCTCACTCACCGTGGGCTTTTACCTTCAGCCCGCGGCCCTGTCGGCTCCTGCGCCGGATCAGCCGCAGCCGGCGCGGGAGGAGGAGGACGAGCCGGGGGCCGGACGGGGGACGCTTGCGGATCCACGCGGCGGGCGCGGAGCGAGCGGCGAGGGGCCGGCGCGCGCGGTCTCCACGAACGCGCAGGCGAGCGAGCGCGGGGTTGGAGCTCCAGCCGCCGCCGTTCCGAAGTAGCCCCCACAGGCGCCCAGCGCGCGGCTCTCGCGCGGGGGCGCCGACCGGGGACCCCTGGCGGCCGCCCGCGGAATGGCAGCTCCGTGAAGTCAGGTCGCCTGGAGGCTCATCTTGCCTCCCGCAGAGGTGAGGAATGGGCGGTCTATGCGGGCTCCAGGGCTTGCCAAAAAGACCCGGACCCTCTCATGAGGGCGGAGAGCGAGAAAGCATCAGAAAGTTCGCGTTCTGGGTCCAACACAACCAAGGCAACTAGAAAGGGGGAAATCATCTTCTCCAAGATTTTCTCACTTGTTGAAAAAGACTGTTGGAAAATACTGACGGGGGCGGGGCGGGGGGGCTTTAATCATTGGTAAATACTGAGATTCTGGCGGCTTTACTAGAACAACCTGGGAGTAGTGGAATAGTGGAATGAGAATAGCCTTGGAAGCCGGGCACACCCTGCGACTTTCTACTGTGTGATTTTCGGTCTGTGACTTCTAAACCAGTATTTTCCTCTGTAAATTGGAAGAGCAGTATCTACCTTGCTGGGTGGTTTTAAGGGTAAACTAAACATAGAAAGCATTTTCCTTCCTTCCTTCCTTTCTTTCTTTCTTTCTTTCTTTCTTTCTTTCTTTCTTTCTTTCTTTCCTTCTTTCTTTCTTTCCTTCTTTAACATAGAAAGCATTCTTAATAGTGGGAATCACTAGATAAAACCTTCCTAAGGAGGGACGCCTGGGTGGCTCAGTGGGTTAAGCCCCTGCCTTCGGCTCAGGTCATGACCCCAGGGTCCTGGAATCGAGTCCCGCATCGGGCTCTCTGCTCAGCGGGGAGCTTGCTTCCTCCTCTCTCCCTGCCTCTCTGCCTACTTGTGATCTCTGTCTGTCAAATAAATAAATAAAATCTTTAAAAAAAAAAAAAACAACTTCCTAAGGAAAATAATGCCTTCCACATATTTTTATTTCCCTATAGCTCCTCAGTACATACCGATTGGGGAGTACCAAATGACTAGGTACTGGATTTTACAATTCTGACTACACACTTTAAAAAGAGGTATGGAAATATACATATATAATATATGTCATATATATATATAATTTATTTATTTGAGAGGGCACGTGCACAAGCAAGGGCGGAAGTGAAGGGCAGAGGGAGAGGGAGAAGCTGACTCCCCACTGAGCAGGGAGCCCAATCAGGGCTTGATCTGGAGGTCAACCGACTGAGCCACCCAAATATCGGGAAGTATGGAAAAACGTAGAAATGAGGATGCATGAGAGGTCAACATCATTCCCCCAAAAGTGGTTTCCACCACTACTAAATGAGAACCTCTAAAAACCACACATTTTCTGCAATATTAAGTCATTTCTGATACTCGAAGAAATATTTGATAGTCAAATAGTTATGGTCTAATAGTGTTAACACTGGATTAAATGATACCACTTAATTCTTGGGTAATGCAAAGATACTGGAGATTGTGAATAAGAAACTCAAACATGAGGGTGAAAAATAGTCAGATGCAAATATACAGCCATTAATTAAGCAATGATTCTTATTGAGTAATGCAATTTCATTTCCAAACTTCCTCAAACCCTAGTCACTGCTTTTAAAGCTTTTGTCCTTTTGGCCTCATGGCAATCAGAACACTCTCATGGTGCAGAACAATCAGGATGGAAGTATCTCTTAATTACCCCAGTTTACCTTTAATTGTCCTTCCCTTTCACTCACTAGTCTCTAATTGGGAAGTCTCTTGCCTGCCTTGCAATACCCTTGGCATGATCTTTTCTGTCCATTCAAAAAGGAAAAATTAGGGTTTTTTGCCTTAGAAACTAAAGCCACACACTGAGATCCGACTCTGCCCTTGAAGATCTGACTCACGGTCCAGAGTACCGATGAGCAAGACATGCACATGGTGAAGAGGGCATTCAGTTCTAATCAATAAATATTAATGGAACCATCTCTGCCTCTCTCCTTGTGTTTCAGCTTTGCCTGTGGGAGGAGAGAACTTTCATCCCACTTCCATCCCCTTAGTGGCGATTTCCCCAGGGAGGAATGGTAAGTCTTGTGACTGGGAGGGAGCCACCCATATTTCCTGGATAATTTTCATCAGTGAGAGGGGTCATTGTAGTGAATAATACCCCAGTTCTTGCCCACTCTCTCCTAGCTTCTCTGCCTGTGACCTCGTGTGCTGGAGAAGGATGGGTCCACCTTCACACTGTGCTCGGAGGGGCCAGCATTTAGATTCAAGCCCTCCTTGGTCCTCCTGCATCTTTGTGTGGTCAGGCTACTACAACAAAGTCTGGGGGCTTCCCAACAGCAGAAAGGGATTTCTCACAGTTCTGGAGGCTGAGAAGTCCAAGATAAGTTGCCAGCAGATTCAGTGTTTGGTGAGGGCTTGCTTTCTCTTAGACAATTTTTCACTGTGTCCTCACAACGCAAAAGGGGGCAGGAAGCTTTCTCAGGCCTCTTTTATAAAGACACTAACCCCATTCATAAGGCATCCTCCCTCATGACTGATCACCACACAGAAGCTCCATCTCCCAATACCATCACACTGGGCCATAGGATTCAACAGATGAATTTGGGGAGGGCACACACATTCCATCTGTAGCGTCCCGGGCTACATCTCCTTCTCCAGTCAGGCTTTTATCAGAATTCTGCTTGGTGTTACATAACAAACTGGTTCCGTCACAAATTGAACAAGCTGTTTCCCACTGGCTATTATTCCTTATGTCTATGGTTCTTTGCTTGTAGGGAGAAGCAATCTGAAGGGAAAGACTAGGTGAAGGAAAGGAATCAGGTAACAGGAGTCCACCCAACCTACACCATCCTCTCTCCCTCAAACGTGCTCCCCTGCTGTCTTCCCCATCTCAGTGAATGGCCTCTCCAACCTTTCATTGGCTTAAAGCCCCAAACCACAGGATCATCTTTGACTTTTCTCCTTTTCTGTTCCACTCCTAATCTATTAACACATCTCATTGGCTTTATTGACAGACCTCTTTCCACCACCTCAGACCAAGCCACAAATACCTGTAGCTAGTATTACTACAATAACCTTCTGTCCCCCTTTCCAACTTGTCCCCCCATATGTGCTATTCTCAATAAAGCAGCCAATGTGATTCCAGTAAAAGTGTGTCCTATTTTGTCAACTTGCTACTCCAAAACCTCCTTGGGCTCCTCTTCCAAATCTATTTAAAATTATTATCACTTTCCCCTTCTAACACTCCCTTATCTGTATTCCCTGCTCCAATGTCTCAGAATTTATTGCCATCTGATTATATATATATATATATATATATATATATATAATCTCCTATATTCATTTTCTGTCTGTGTTAGTTTTCTATGGCTGCAGTAATGAAGAACCACAAACTTAACAACATACAACAATACAAATTTATTATATTCTGTAGGTTAGACTTTCAGCCCAGGTCGCATTGGTGTCAGTAGGGCTGCATTCCTCTTTGAAGTCTCTGGAGGAAAGGCAGTCAGTTTCCCTGTTTTTACTGGTTTCTAGAGGCTGCTGACATACCTCAGCCAGGGTTTCCTTTCTCCATCTCCAAAACCAGCCACAGCAGTCAAGATTTCATTTTCTTCACCCTGACCTTTCTGCTTTCCTCTTCCACTTATAAAGGCCCTTCGGGTTACACTGAGCCCTTCCAAATAATCCAGTGTTATCTCCCTATGTCAAAGTCAGCTGATTAGTGACCTTAATTCTGTCTGCAACCCCAGTGCCTCCTTGCCGTGTAATGTAACACGATCCCAGGTTATGGAAATAAAGATGTGGACATTTGGGGGTCCGTTATTCTGTCTACCACACGGTCTTACTCTTTCTACTAGAATGTAAATTCCACATGACATGGATTTTTATCTATTTCGTTTATTACTCTATCCTTGGACTAGCTCAATAAATGTATAGATGCTTGCTAAGGACTGAATTATATCCCACCTCCCTCAGCCTCCAAAGCCATATGTTGAAGCCCTAACCCTCAATGTGATGGTATTTGGAGTTGGAACCTTTGAGAGGTAATTACAGTTATCCCGCTTCTTGGCCCTTTGCCTAAGATCAAGAGGTAATTACAGTTAGATGAAGTGATAAGGGTAGTCCGCTCATGATGAGATTAGTGGTGATTAGTGGCTTTATAAAGAGAAACAGGAAGAGAGATTGTTGTCTCTCTGCCATGTAAGGACACAGTGAGAAGGAAGTCATCCATAAGCCAACAAGACTCTTAGCAGGAACCAAACTGGCCAGCATCATGATCTTGGACTTCCCGGTGCCCAAAACTGAGAGAAATAAAAGTCTAATATTTAAGCCATCTGGTCTATGGTATTTTGTTATACCACCTGAATGTGCTAATATGGCACTCAAATATGTGTTGAATTAATTAATGAAGAGAACTCATTATGGGTGTTGCAAATACTTAATCTCTATTAAGCACCCATCATACGTCAGGTACTCGCTAAGTACTTTACATGGAATGTCTCATTTAATTCTCACAAGATTCCTATGCAGTAAATACAGATGAAGAAATTACAGACCAGAAATTTCCCCCATCTGAGGGAACTTGCCCAAGGTCATGCAGCTAGTACATCATGTAGGTAGGTTTTAGACTTGGCAGCGTGATTTAAAACCATAGTGGAACCCTCACACTCCTCTGCCACTATCATGCAGCAATAGACTGCCTGGGATCCTGCCCTCAAGATGCTTACAACCTAGTTAGAGAAATATGACTAGCAAGAAGGGGGGAGGGGAAGGGGTGTGTAGAAGAGGCCGATACATTTCTGTGGAGCACAGACACAAGATTAATTCTGGATGGAGTTGACTGGGGGGAGTTTCAGGGAGGATGTAGCATTTGAGCTGGACCTAATGATGGCAGACACTGGGGCACCTGGGTGGCTCAGTCGGTGGCTCAGCATTTGCCGTCAGCTCAAGTCATGATCCCAGAGTCCTGGGATCAAGCCCTGCATCAGGCTCCCTGCTCAGCAGGGAGTCTGCTTCTCCCTCTTCCCCTCACTCTGCTCATGTTTTCTCTCTCTCTCTCTCTCACTCTCTCTTTCTCTCAAATAAACAAATTAAATCTATAAATAAATAAATAAATAAATAAGGTGGACATTGTTGGGAGTTAGAAAAGTTGTTTCAGGTACCGAAAACCTGTAATGATACAGGAAGGTAGCAAAATGCTAAATGTGTCCTAGAAACCAAGATTAATCTAGTTGGTATGGGGACTATGTGTGCAGTCAGATGATAAAGGCTGGGACCCCAATGCTAGGCTAGAGATCAAAGGAAATGTAATGATTTTCATCTAAGTTATTGATGGAGAAAGTTAATGAAAGAGCTGCCAAAGCAATGTCTGAAGCTATAACTCAAAAGGCAGTTAGTAGAAGACAAAAATGAACTTTTTGCTGATAAAATGTTTTGGTGGCTTCTCTGTTTGCCACATTATAAAAGGGCAATCATGGATCTGTCATTCCAGGTCCAGAGCACAGCCTCCCATATCCTAGAACCAAAAGGTTCTCAAGTGAGCAAAAACAGATAATGAAAGCAACTGGGTTATTCCTGACCTTTAGACAAGTATAATTTTCACCATTTCCATTTTATAGGTGAAATAACAGTCTGGAAGAATTGACTCGCCCCAGATTGCACAACTAATATGACTGGGATGTTGGTTTTAGGTCTCATGACCATTACTGTTGTGTGTCCTGATCCAGCAGTGGAGAAGGCCCTAAGAGTGTGCTTGTCCAAGATAAAGTTGCCAGATTTCAAGCTGTCTCAGATAAATCTCTCCAGGTAGCGATGGGATAAGTCTAAGGAGTATGGATGGAGGCACTCATGATTCTTACTTCCAAGCTTTTGCAGGGAAAAGAGAGAAGGCAGATCATCTGAAAGATGCATTTTAGGGAGACAAAGTGGCATAGTAATTAATAGAATGGGCATCAGAGTCTGAAAGACCCATATTCGCTGTGTCTATTGCCTCATTTTATAAAATGGGGTAAATAACATAAGTGGTTGTATGGATTCTGTCAAGGGATGCATGTAATGCGCTTAGCACAGAGCTTGCCACATGGTATGTGCTCCAGAAATTCCATCTCTTTTTCTTTCCAGCCCATAGTTCTACATCACCCTCCCATAGCTCCTCCCTCAGGAGGGTAAGACACCCTATCCCCAAGCCCACGTGACATTCCACACTCAATTTAGAAGACTTACCACCTCTTGGGATGTCATGTCCTAGAATTGGAAACAAAAAGAGAATATTTCTGGGTAGTTAGGTACAGAATTAATAACATTCACATTTTTTGCCCAAGTCAGTGCAAATTACTTTCTGTCATTTTCAGTTCACGCTTTATATATTTCCTGTAAGAGGAAAGCCATGCTGGTCTTCAGTGGTGAATGAGAAAAATCCCAGAAAGATTCTGTTGCCAAACCACCTCATTACAGCTTCCACTGAGAGGGCACCAAAAGAGCAAAGGGATAGCGTAAGAGCGTCACCATAGTAACATCATAACACATTGCAATGGAGTAAAGCAGAGAAAACATGTTTGCGTCGTCCTTGACAAACACAGACTCACAATCATGTTGCTCAGGAGAGCAGTGCTCACTCAAATTGGATTTGTGAGAGGGCATTCCTATTAATTTTGGTAGTCTGATTACCCTTTGGCATTGTGTGCTAACCATATTGATTACAGGCAGCTTACTAACAAAGAGCAGACATTCTCAGAGTCCTTTTTTCATACCGAGCAACGAGAGTTAACACAACTGTCTACTTAACAAATCTTGAACAGTAAGGCACACTTCCTCCTTACCTACTTTGATTTTGCTTTCAAAACCCCGACTGATCATAATCCTGGAGAGATTGTCTCAATGTTGTATGGGGCATCTCTGGGTCCCAGAAATGAATGGGCATGCCTTCTCATAAGCATTGAAATCATGGCAATTTAAACAAGAGAGAGGTGTGTGTGTACATGTACAAAAGATATGCATAATATGTAAGTATATATGGTATATATAAAGATACTCATATAAATCTTTTATTCATATCTAGTACGTATATACGTAAAACTTTTTAAGCAATTTCAAACCATGAAAAGAATCCACATGTTAAAGCCCATTTCCTACTAGCATAATTCTTACCATTTATAATGACACTAGATGTCTACAATTATGTCCTCTGAAATCCACATTATATCAATCCCATCTCATGGACGTGGAAATGAGGCACGGAAAGGTCACAGGGTTTGAGGGCTGGGGAAAAAAAAACCTGTGACACAGTTCAAAATTGTACCAGAGCAGCTAAACAAGATGGGGGACTTTGGAACCATTCTAGAAAATTGCCTGCCTTCCATTCTATGGGAGTAAAGTGAGTGTTCTTTCCTTACTTATTTTTTAAAAATTCATTTTATTTAAATGAGATTGTGACCTTCCCTCATGCTCTCTGGATCTATTTGTATTTTTCATAGTGACCCAATGTCCTTCAGATCTCCCTACCAGACTGTGCTTTTTTCCAGTTTTGTTTGTTTTTTAAGTCATTTGAGTCTTTAATAAGTGAGTTCTCTCCTGAGAG